GCACAGGGGGCCTTCCTTTCTCCAGAGAAATTACTACCATTTGCACAACCAGGCCCCTGCATCTCCCTGCAGCACAGAGCTTGGACTTTTGTTTCCCAGAGCTGGTGTGTTCCCTGGCAAGTAGGCTTACCTGTGCTCATGAACACACATGTACCTACACACCAACCCCCACAGAGCTTTCGTCTTTGCAAAGGCACCCACCCTTCTGAGCAAGGCTTCACATTCCCATCTCCTTGGGGTCATTTGATGTGTGTGCCTGCACATGAGTGTTTTTGAATATGGATATAAATAGGATCAAAAAGTAATTTATAATGGAAGAGACCTCTGGGGTCTCTGGTCAAAGAAGGACTAACTCCTTTAGATCACTGAGGGCCTTCTCCGAATAAGTTTTGACTATCTTCAAGGGGATCCTGCACCCCTAAAAGGAAACAGCTTATCTAGTATCAGCCATAATTTCTGTTGTTCAGCCCAGAAATAGCTCAGAAGATTGATTCGGTGGCACTGGGGCTTGGGCCTATTTTCTGTGGTTTTTCCCATGGCAGGTCTTAATTTCTGGAGATTTTGCACCGCTCAGACTGTTAGTGTTAACGGTTGCCAAGGGAACTGGTACAGCCACTGTTTGCTGGCAGAGGGTCCTTCTGCCTGGCCCCCTCTGCATTGCCATGGTACATTTACAGAGATGCCTTTCCTGGCCGCTGTCATTACTCTACCATGGGGGAGAAGAAGTCGGGGCACAGCTGCATTGAGGAGCTGCTGATGCCCCCAGATGACAGGTCCAGACCAACGGCAGCCTGTTAATCTGCCAGCACAGCTGTAAGAGGCCTTTGCAGACTCTGCAGATCCGCTGTGTCACTAGCTTGGAAACCTGCTGCCCTAGCTCTGCCATTCCCCAGTTTGCTGGGGTCCACGGGGCTCCAGCTTGTGCATGGAGAAGCACCTGAGCGTGCTTGCTGGACCAGGGCCAGTGGTGTACCAGTGAGCACAGGGAACGATGGTGTCTTGGTTGGGTGTCTTCTCCAACCAGCCTAGCAAAAAGATCAAAGCCATCTGAGGTTGACAGTCCTGCCAGCTTTTCCCTCTGCAACTTTCTTGCACTTGCTCTTAGTGACCCATCTCACATGCACCTTATCCCTGCTTTTTGAAGGCCTGATAAGCCCTTTCCACCTTGCTGGAAGTGACTCTTGTCACAAGGGCCTCCTTGGGCAAGTCTCTGTCTCTGTCTCTGCTGAAGCAAAATCCTGCAGCTGATGTAGGACTGTGGGCTTGGCCACCCAGCCATGCCTGGATCCTGAGGCCCATGCCTTTCCAGAGGCCAGAGTGATCTCTTGTGGTCTTGATGAACTTACTGGAGGAGTTTTTTGGGGTTTCAGTTCTGTCAGCCCTTTCTTTCAGCAGTGGGGAGGAGCAGGAGGAAGTTTGGAGCCAAATACTACTCTGCCCTGCTATAAAGCCCCCTGGAAAACAGAAAGGTACTTGCCTGAATGTGGCTCGGGATTTTTCTTCCTCTTGCCTCTTGAGGAAACTTGCCTTAGCACTTCTAGAAAAGGATTTGAGAAAGTTGGCACTTTCCTCTTCTCACCTAAAAAAGCTCTTCTGACCTTCAGTGGCACTAATCACAAGAGAGAGATCAGGGCAACAGATCATGCAGTGTTCTTCTCAGTGCAGTGCCCTGCAGTGCACTGAAACATCGAGCCCCATGAGGACAGACTGACTGATCATGGAGTCGTGAGGGACTGCACTCAAGTGTGTCTGCCACACAGTTATGTCCATGATTTTGAAGATTTTTTTTCCCAGCCCAAATGATTCTATGGTTCTGCAGTAGGAGCTGGAATTGCCAAATTAGGTGGACCCCCCTGCTGGTTATCTGGTGTTCTTGCACGGTAACGGTGCTGTAACTTCCCTAGAGATACCAGCTAGGCTCCTCTGGGCTGCAGTGACTTCCCTCAAATGGAAGAGGTAAAGTTTGACCATCCTTTCTGTGCATTGAGTTCTGTACGGGACAGAGCTCTTTGGCTGAGAGCTATATACAAAGTTTAGGACCCCGCAGGGAGATACTTCTCAAGGTCTTCAGACCTGTGTGGTTGAATTTGAGCTCCTGTAGGCTCCCTCTGCTTGAGATGCCTTCGATAATTTGTTCATCTTTGATGGCAACAGGGGACTTAGAAGGATTAAAATGGTGGTGTCCTGTTTGTGGAAGTGTCTGGGTGTCCACTTCTCTGCAAGGAGGACCAGGCTGCCTCTGTCTCAGCCTCTGGAAAATTTCTTGTATTTTGTTTTATTCTCTTTACCCGTATCTTCCAGAACAGATGAAGACCAGCCCCGAGACCCAGCCTCATGTTGGTGAGGGTCTCTCAAAGTCACTGGAGCTGGCAAGACCTCTGGAAATGGGCAGCCCTTGACCGAGAGCTTGATTTGACATGGGCAGAGGGAGAGTCCTCCTGTGCCCGCCTAAGGTGCTGTGTCAGGTAGTCAAGAGAGGAGCTGTGGCTGCACATGTGGGGTGCAGGACAGCACACATGCTTGATCTTGCCCTGGGCAGCCCTGCTTCTTCTTGTGACTGCAGCCAAATGCTGCGTCCAGACTTGCACCAGTACTGACCCACATCACCCAGCTGACGCTGGCACTGGCACCTCCGCTGCCGCTGCATGGTGTTTTGGCCCTGCTGTGAGCCTGTTTGTGGGTCTGTGACCCTGTGGGGTGCACTGACAAGTTCAGTGGGGCCAGCTGTGGCTCACCACCCCCGGGGTTGGCCCTGGGGTGAAGTCCCTGGGATGGGGGCAAGGATAGGGAGGGACAGATGGGTTGAGGGGGCCCCCTCCCCAGAGATCATATCAAAATGTCTCTATTGTGCAAAGCAGAGGGAATGCCCCCAAGAGCTGGTTTCCATGGCAACCGCAAATGTCAGGTTCCATGTGGTGAATAACCGTTTCCATGACAACACCTCCTTTATCCTAGGTGCTGGGAGTTGGAGTGACAGCCCTGTTGGGGGAGGGGACAGGGAGATGGCCTCAGGTGCTTAACCTCCCCCTCACCTCCCACTATCCTTCTTGACTTCTTGCCCTTAGCCCCAGCATCCCTGGGTGGGTGGTGCTAGAGGGGGGTTATATGTGTGCCTACTAGCTCTTGGCTTCTATAGCAGCCCTTCTGCCCCACCTACCCCAAAATGTCTTTGCTTCTCATAGGAGCTGAGATCTGAGTCTGTCCCTCTGTCTCCCTCCCCATCAGTTTAGTTTAGTTCTGGCTTTGCATCCTGGGTAGAAACAAAACTATTTCTCAGTGCTGTGGGAGCAGTGGGGAGTGACATGGCCAGCTGCCCCTCTTGGCTGTGCACCGAGCACACATCTGGGCTGCCTGCCCTCTCCCACTCAGCCTGCTCCCAGAGCACTGCCAGCCTCAGCTCACGCAGGCATATTGCCAGGGACTGTGAGCAGTGATAGGAGCCTATGCCTCTCAGCAAGGAAATTGGAGGCTTTGTGGAACAATCTCTGACTGCATACTTCTGAATCCCTGTCCCACATCCCACTCAGCTCATGAAAGAGATGCCAGGTCCTTGGCAGCTCTTGTGGGGAGCAGCAACCTGGAGGCTGGTGAGTGCTGGGGCCACATGGCAGTGCAACAGGGTATCGGGAACTCTGCAAATCCATGCAGCTGATGATGAATGGGAAAAGGATCTGCAGCCTCTTCCCTAAATGATGCAGCACCTCCTGGGAGATGGAGTGGGCACTGCTGCCTATCAAGGTGTAGCATGGCAGCAGCTTGGCTTCTCTTTCCTGTGAACTGCAAACTTATTTCACTCATTTCCTCCAGCTGTTGTAAATGTGGGCTCTACCTCCAGTTTCTGGCCAGTCTGACTCAGCCTTCCACATATTGCATGCCGGCTTCTAAACACATTTCAGGTGGTGACCTTTATGGCTTGATTTCATTCTATGTTTTGTTGCTGTTTTTCCTGAGGAAGTTTCTTGAGAGAGGGGACAGACTATGCCTGGACCTGCAGCTTGTGTGCAGGCCTCACCTGCGATATTCTGATTGGTTTTTATTATGAATGTCACCGATTCCAGTTACTGTCAACCTGTCTGAATGATGCTGAGAGACATGGAGTGAGATGTGCTGTGAGTGTGGGTTTGCCCTGTGTACCATTCTTTGGAGGAGATTCTGGCACACTTGGGTCTTGCTAGATGGGGAGGAGGTTACAGCTTGTCAGTTGCCTCTCTGGGCAGCACAGGACATGCAGGCCTGCCAGCAGATGAGAGTTTTGCCCTACTTTGCAAATCAGACAGTTGAAGCTGTGGGCTCCTTAATGCAGCTACTTCTGTCTTACCTGGAGAGTCCCCATTTCATATGAGCTAAGCTACCCTTCAGGCTTGTTGTTTGTGGTTGGATTATTGCTGATGACACTAATGGCTGCAAGAGAGGTAAAAAGCTCTTCTCCATACCCAAGCGAGAGGAGTTTTGGCACTTTTAACCTGGGTATTGCCCCTGAGGGCCAGAGATGTTGCTTGAGAGCAGCACTGCCCTTCTCAACAGCCACTCTGGTGCACAGAGCTCTGTCTGCATGAGGGCTGGGGAAGGGGAAACTTAACATGCCTGCCTGCTGTTCTGCTTCTAGCCAAGGTCAGAGGCAGTCTTTTTTCTCTCCTGCAAGGAGAGTAAGTGGCTTAAGTAGGTGAGGTGGCCGTGCCTGGACTGAGTCAGGGCAGACATAGGAAGAGCTTCCAGGCATAGTCTCACCTTAGGCCTTTCTTTGCACTTGCTGCATCTTAGGAAGCAGAGGTTTATGGATGGTGAGCATTTCTAGGAGAGCTGTTGTCTCAGGCAAGCAGCTGAGCAGGGAAAAGTGCCAGGTTTCTTTTTGAAAAGTGGTCCTTTCTCCAAGGGGATGTACTGATTGCTCGTACTCTGCACAGCAGGCAGAAAGCAGCACCCTGTTACCACTGCCATTAGCACTGTGCGCTGGGCAGATGGGCCAAGCTCTAACCCTTTGCATTTCTCTTTCATTGCAGATGGCGCGCCCAATTCAAGTGAAACCTGCAGACAGCGAGAGCCGTGGAGGTAGTTGTCATCTCTCCTTGTTTCTCCTTTGGTGGCTTTGCGCTTGTGAGAGGGACCAGGAAAAGAGAGAGGCTCCCGACCCTGCCTTCCTCTACCTGCAGTCTGTATGAGGAGATGTTTGTATGTGGCAGAGGGGCAGGAGAAGAGCTTCAACTTGACACAGCATGCAGCTGACAGCACCCCAAATCCTAAGGGTGATAATGTGGCTGCCTACTCCACTCTCTTTCCCAGCTCTTTGAGGGTACTATTAGCCTGACAGTGCCTGTCCCAGGAAGTTACTGAAGCAGACCTGCACTTAGGTGCATGGCATTGAGGCTCCTGGAGGGTGTAAGCTGTTGGGAAGAGATTTCTTCATTTGTACACCTGATCAACCCAATAAAAGCCAGATCCCTGCAGCAGCACTGGCTTTTTAACATGTTCAGCTCACTGCTCCGCAGCTGATTCTCCTGTCTGCAGCTCACTCCTCTGCCTCCCCCATTGCTGCTGAACTGTCTCAGCCTCCCACTCTCGGTCCTGCAGCAGCCCCCATCACATTGTCAAGGCTGCAGTGCTGTTGCAGAAAAGATCACATGATTGGGAAATAATGTCTGAAGGGAAAGAATCCTGAAATGGAGGTGCTGTCAGCCTGCAGGGGACCAGCTTGGTCAGAGCAGCATACGAGTTCAGAGCTGGAAGACTGGGAATGAGAGAACCTGTTCATTTAATGGGAAGCTCTCAGCAGCTCAAATGCCTTCTCCAGGTGGAGAGGGTTCACCCTTCAGCCCTTTCCTAATCCATTAATTCATTTATCTGCTCTTCCTTGTCTTACTGATATATTTCTTTTCCTTTTGTTTCCATTTCTACGTCTGCCTTTCCATGCCTTGTGCTGTTGGTGCTGCCCCTGAAAGCAGTTTAGTAGAGGCAAGGGGAGGATTTGTGTGGTGCTTTTTGTGCTGTGGGACAGCATGTCCTGCATGCGGTATTTAGAATTGGAAGGCTTTTGTTTTAAATTTTAAGAGGTCATTTCCAAACAGTTTGTAGTGACTTTCAATTATTGCATTGTCAGGAACATGAGACATGTTTTATAATATAAAATATATATGTGTATATTTACGGTTGTGTGATCGTCCTTTTAAAAAAAAATTGTTTAAGTCAGATAGATTATTTTTCCAAATAGAATCTGTAAATTTTGGTTATTTACTTGAGGAATAACTTTTACTGAAGTCTGGGCAAATTTATTCTCTTGAGCTATACTGACAATCCAGGAATGCTACCTATAGTCATGCTCCTTTTGAAAAGGACTGTGACTTAAATCTCCAAAGAAACTAGCGTGCCTAAACCACATTCACCTTATTTCAGCCCCTGGTTCAGAGTTGAGTTTAAGGTCCTTACCTGTGCTATAGACCAGTTCCTTCAGGGTGTTTCACTGTTGAAAATGATGTTAGGAGTGAATGAAGTATTCTTTAGAAATGCCTGCAGTGGGTATAGAGGGGGCTGATTACTCACTGACACCTCACATTGCCTCTGGATTCAACTAGTAGGTGGTCAGTCCATCCTCTACCACACTGATTTTAAAAATTTTCAACCCAGATTTCTAACTAATTCAGAAATTACGTTATTCTATCTGAGGTTACTCCTAATGAGTCTTTAAAAAAAAGAAAAAAAAAGCATAGGAGCCTAGGAAAGCCTTTGCCAGTCATCCTGGTGCCAACATTGCAGAGCCAGTAAGTGTCAGACATGGCTGCAGAGCAGCCCTCCCAGCCCAGAGAGATAGACAGCAGGACCTGCTGCAGGGCCTTGGGCGCCCCCTTGACACACACCTTCCCAGGCAAATGCACACATTCACCTTTGTCACCCTGCATTATGTCTGGACACAACAGCAGTAAAACCAGACCAAACAGACAATCCATGCTGTGAAAGGACCAACTGCTGCACCTTTGTTTTCTTAGGTTTGTGTCTTTGGTGAGTGCAAGTCTGGCATCTCTTGATATCTACTGCTAGGCTGAGGTCATTTCTGCAGTGTGTCTTTTGCTGATGGGCTGCTACTGGCATCTCTTCTATACACAGCCACCAAGTATTAAGTGTTGGGACATAACATCTCTGATGCTTCAGTTTCTCTGTCAAATAGAGCTGAAACAGGCCAACAGGTTAAAAACCAGGATGTTGATTTGGAAGCAAGCTTTTGGTCAAGGCACTGGACTCTGAAATCTCTAAGTTTATGGAAAAGTGCCACATTCTCTAATGATTGCAAATGTCAGAACATCAACTCTGCTTCCGGTGGACAAGGCCTTAGAGAGCAGCAGCCTTTGTAGTCTGAACACCTGTCTCTCTGCAGCCTGGGTACCTCACTTCCTCACTTTAGAGCTGAAAAGCAAACAGCTCCCACAGGATCCGTGACAAACTGTTGTTTTTTTTTTTTTTCCTGAGGCAGAAGCAGCATCAAGACAGCACCCTATGTTTGTCTGAATCTGTTGCTCTTTTGAAATGTTTCTGTCATGATGCTTCACTTGTCAGAGAAGTGGATATGAGCAACTTGGCAGATACAGGAAGAGCCATTCCCTGTAGCAACAGCCCCATGCTGGCAGGAGGTAAAAGAAAGATTTGGGGCAGGGCAGAACTGCTTGGACTAGGAATTTTTCAAGGGAATAGGTGCATGCATCAGTGAAGCACTGCTCTGCATTATCCTTTAAGGGAACATCTCCAGGGACTGACATTTCTCAAATGAAGCACCCTGAATTAAGTACATGAAGTTCGAGCACCAGAATTTGTCTCCTGGTCTAAGAGATGCTAATTTTTATGCCAAAGGGACAGTTTTGTCCAAGCCTTGCAGGGGCTGTGTAGGGGTATCTGGATGCTCGGTGTTACTGTACTCTGCAGAAGGAATTCACTAGTAAAAAGTTCCTGCCTGTATTAGTTCAGAGTGGGACCTGTGATTCTGGGGTAGGCATTGTCAGCTTTTTCTTTCTTTCCCTTATGCCTGTGGTACAAGCATGAGAGTATCAGGAGGAGATGGAGTGAGGGGGCAGAGGAGCTCGTCTGCTTCTTGGTAAGACCTGGAGCATTCTGATGCAGTGATGTGATATGACAGCCAGCCCAAGGCCATTAGTACTGCCTAGAGACATGGAAGCTTTATGCATATCCAAGGAGATTTGCTGCATTACCAACGGCTTTAGCAGGCTTCCTCTCTCTCCCTGATCCTTGCTGTTGACAGCTGTCGGCCAGATGACCTGAATCCACTGGGCTTAGAGGAGTGGTGTCCAGTACTTGTGTGCTCTCCTCTCTCTCTCTTTCTCTCTCTCTTGGCCATAGCATTTGGACTTTATGGCCTCGACTCCCTTACTTGTTCCCTCACCACCTTCATCAGCAGTGTGCTCTGTGATGGCCCACCTCCTGCTGTCTGGGTGGCTGACTGTGCCCAGAGCATGTTTCCATGGGAACTCAATAGTCAGAGATCAGAATCAATTTTCCTGGTTGCTGGACAGCATAGGAAATTGCCAATCAGAGGGTGAAAACCAAGAGCTATAGGGAAAGCGAAGGAAAAACAGCAGGAGGAGGGCATGCTGTTCTGAGTAGGAGACGAGATCTTCCAGTGCTGCAGAAATCCCTGCTGGGGAGCTGAAGGAGCTGATGACCTGCAGCACTGCCCTGAGAATGCCAGCTGGTTTGAGATTGACTGCTTTGGGCATGATGATAGCAGAGCTCAGGTGAAAGGGCTGGGAAGAGATGAGGCAGCCTGGTTATTGGTGGGGGAACAGTTCTATTTGGAAGCTCACAGAAGCTAGAGGGCACCAGATCATGGGTTGGGCTCCAAGATGTGAAGAGGTAGAGGTGAGCAACAGGGGAGCCCTTTCACAGGTTCCCCAGCTGCTGCAAAGATGCATTGGAGGGGAACAGGCTGGGCCTTTTTCCTATGTGCAGTCTTTGGAAGTGGGCTGTAAGAAACAATCACTGTGCAAAAATCTTTCTCTTATGTTGCAAGTGACTTCAGTCCCTTCTAATATTGCTCTCGTGGGCATTCAGAAAAGATTCTGAACTCATAGGTGTGTGTATTTATATTAGCCTTTGTAGCTTGAGTCCCTAAGGTATCGCAGTTTTAAGCTGTTCTGCATAGACAGGAAGACCAGCATTTTTTTTCTTCCTAATTCAGAAAGGAAAGCTGAAATTCCCACATAAACACAGGACGTCCAAAAAGTTCTGTTAGTGAGCTGTGTCAGACAACAGAAGACCTGCAGTAAAACTGCAGGAACGAAGACTAGCATTCACTGTTTCAATGGACTTTTCCCAAAGTGCAGGGTATAGAAAAAGGCTTTTGATTCAGCAGAAATGGTATGAGGAAGAAACCACAAGGATTATCCAAGAAATTTCAGGGCTCTCTGGAGGAGGAAATAATGAGTAACTTGTGATTTGGTGTTGATTTGATTGCAAGTTGACAAGGTCCCTTTTCGTTCAGTACCTTCATTGCAAAGGTGTGGCCTTTTGCATCCATTAGACTGTTGTTTGGTGGAGACAAGCTTTGGGTGGCTACAGTAACCATCAGGTCTTTGCACTGAACTAGTCTTCAGCCAAAACTGGAACCACTTACCCAACTCTCCCCTGGCTACCCTCTGTCCTTTCACAAGAATCTCACACAAAATCAGACCCAGCAAAAGGCCAATGTTGCCAAAGTAGCATTATGTCCATGTAGCTGTGTTTTCCCCCCACCTAGAGCTTCCCCGCTGCCATTCTGACCAAGACAGCCAGGCAGTCGTCTGAGGTCTCTGAAGAGAAAGGCAAGACCGTCAAGTGCATTTCTGGCTATTAAATCTTAGCCCAGTTATTTGCTTGCAAGTTCAAAGAATGAGGTTATTTTACAGTACTTGAAGTCACTAAAAGTATTCCCTAGTGAATTTTTCCCCTTTGTTGATGTGGTTTTTTTAAGGAACTTCTGTTGTGTTTGCAATACAAAGGCAGCAACATGGGGCACATATCTGAAATAAGGCCTAGCTGCAGTATAGATTCGGAATAGAAGAAGGGAACACACTACAGAGCTCCCGTGTCCCCTGCCGTAGCCAAACTGGATTCACATATGGCACCAGGTGATGTCAGTCAGAGCACAGAACTACTGCTCCTTTAGTTTCCATGCTCTTCTTCACAGTGAATTAAATTCCTCTCCAGTCCCCTTTTTTTTTTTTTTTATTCCACCCCCTGCTTCCAGTCAGATTTTTTCACCTCCTCTATGTACTATTTTTTGGCTGGTTTAACCAACCGCACTTCTGAGCTAGCCCTTGTGGGGGCAGATGTTGTCTTCCTGCTAAGAAGACAGCTGTACAGAACCTGCTTTATTAGCTCCTGTGCCTTAGCTGGACATTATTGGGCATTGCTAATTGAGATGGACCTGACCAGCTGAAATAATGTCTCCAAATGCAACCATTGCCATGCAGGTGCAGGGAGAAATGTAGAAAGAATTGCGAGGAAAATGGAAGGGGATGAAATTCCCCCAGATTTTCTTACCCAGGGAATCATGACACTGAGGAAAGCTGGGAAATTTGGCCTTTAAAAAACACACAAGGCCATAAATTTCAGCCACTTCTAGTTATATAAATCAGGAGTATCTGTTTGGGACTGGGTTAAGAGCCTTGGATACAGCACTTCTAAGACTTCATCTCTGGTGGACACAAGTGGCACCTGTGTTCACCTGGTGCTAGAAGAGAGCTGTGCCTGTGTGAGCCTGTGCTGGGGCTCTGTGAAGCAGTGCTGTGGGATGAAGTGACTCCCTGTGGTGTCTGCATGGGGAACGAATCTGTCTGTCTGCACATCCCTCTTGCTTACTGAGGGATTTTGCTTCAGAAGGCACCTGCTGGGGCTAGGTCAGTGTACAGGTGTGTTCCTGGGCATGCATAAGTCTCTGTGCTTGTCCATTAATGCTGCATATGTGCATCTGCTTTTCTGGCAGGGACCAATGGCATGTGTAGGTCCTGCCTGCTTCCCAGTGCATCTGCACTTAGCAACTTGTTTACTTACCTGGGTAGGAAGCATCCTCTGACCAAAGGGGAGCAAGGAAGGGGCTGGGGCAAGCTTTGGTGGCAGTGTGAATGTGTAATGTGCCATCCAGTCCTGCCATACATACACACCACCACTCCTGTAGCCCGTTCTGCTGCTGTAACTTCAAGACCTGTTGTTTTCAGGTCACTGCACTCTCAAACAGATAGCAGCTTCCTCGCTATTTCCCCTGATGTACAGCACGTTGTACTGGTTTGTTTGCAGCCAGCCCCTCTGATCCCATTGCTAACAATAAGAAATCCTCTCGTATATTCGCTCCTATGGGTCATGTCTCCCATGCATGTGCGGGAGAGTTTACTCAGTAGTTGGCACAACTATTTTCTTGCAAAAATGCAGATTGGGCTGGTATTTAGGCTGTTATTTTAATGTTGTGCTATTTTAATAGCTGTTCACATCAAATGTGTGGGGGATGTTGTCCCATCCACTGCTGTGTTTGTGCTTGGCTGGATGGCACCAGGCAGTGTGATGTGCCTCTGTGGGTACTAATGGGGAAGCTCTGTACCTTTCTTGCCTCCACACTTATCCATCGCAAGAAAACCATAATCCTCACTTCTCTCTTTTGAGGAGGAACCCAGAAGGACTCTGAGCTCAAAGTCGTGGATGTATTGGCCAGCCTTCCAGCTCCCTGCCAGTGTGAGATGGGTACAAAATGCCATTCGAGAGGGGAGCGGGGACCATGGAGATGTTAGTTGGCCTTCACTAGTCTGGTATTTGGGTGCTCCTGCGGTGACGCAGATTGGGACCCAGAATGCCAGGGTTTATTCCAGGCCTTAGGAGACAGCTAGTTAGATTGGGGTGGGGAAGAGCAAATGGAAACTAAGATGCTTGGTTACATGGCATCTGAGGAAATGGTGATCTCAGAATGAAGAAAAAGGAAACAGAAGTCAGAAGTCCTGGAATTTATTACCCTGTCTGGGTTGGTCTGCTGTATTTTTAAAGGTACCTCTTGGATTTCACATACCGGTCAACAAGAGTATAATTGCCCAGGCAGTTTTTCTTATTAACATTTGTGTTGGATTATTCAAAGGAAAAGGTTAATGAATAAAAGGAGAGTATTAATCTTTTGTTTTCTGTTGGGGATGGTAGGATAGGGGAAGCCACAGAAACCTTTGCAGGTGTGAGGAGCTTGGGTGGACCCTGCACACTCACCTCTGTGGAAGCATTTCATCCAACAGCAAATCATTTCCATGCCAGGCATGTTTTTAACGCAAGGCTGTTCTGTGCTTAAGTGTCCCTATCCTCCTGCTTCGGACTGACTAAGCCTCATAGAAGGTTGATGTTTCTGTGTTTGCCCCTAGGGGACAGGAAGCTCTTTGTGGGCATGTTAAATAAGCAGCAGTCTGAGGATGACGTGCTCCGGCTCTTTGAACCATTTGGGGTCATTGATGAATGTACGGTGCTCCGTGGACCTGATGGTAACAGCAAAGGTGTGAACCCCTCTGTGTGTCATGCCCTTTCTCCCTGCTCTGCAGGTAGTGCTCACCAGCCTCACTGCTTGTGCCTCCTTTCCACTGGGGTACTTATTCCTCCACTGTATCTTTAGGGGAACCCGTATCACAGCCCAGCATAGGGAGCAGGGCATGAAGAATCATCTGCTGCCGGGAAAGATTGGGGAAGGTGGGCAGAGACTGAGAGAAAAGGAGGGGAAGCAGAGCACGATGAATAGTGAGTTACCAGGATCACTAGTGAGCCTGTTCTGTCAGTCTGAGTCTGCAAGTTGAAATGTTTGTATTAGGAGTCCACGGAGACTTTGGGGAAGAGGAAATCAGGAACAAGGGTGGAGATGGTGACATCATCTGTAGAGTATGTAATTGAAGTAATAATTTGAGACCCTTCCTCTTTTTTCCAGGATAGAGGACTCGGGATGAGTCATCCTTTTTGTTCCCTGCTTCCTTGGGGTGGCTTTCCTTTGCCTTGCCTGAGATACAGACACTGTCTCTTGCGTGATGGCACTTTCACAGCAGTCCTGTCACTGCAATCTCCTGTGCTCTTTCTGTCCCTTTCCAGGCTGTGCTTTTGTAAAGTTCTCATCTCACACAGAGGCTCAGGCAGCAATCCACGCACTCCATGGCAGCCAGACAATGCCCGTGAGTATAAGGCCAGGGTACCTACCCTCTTCCTAATCCTCATCCCATTACCCCATTGCAGGGACCTCCCCACACTCTCCAAAACCATGACAGGTTCAACTGCAGTTTCCAGTTGGTGTGGTTGGGAGGTGTGAGTGGGGATGCGTGTGCACATCCGTGCTCTAATCTTAGTAACCATCCTGTCTCCTGGTCTGATGTTTGTAGCTACGTTCATCCAGACTGGTAGTGAACAGTGCTTACATCTATAAAGGCTAAATAAAAGAGAGCCAAAACAAGGCCATGAATTTGTTTTGGAAACAGCTCCCTGGAGTAGTTAAAAACTGAGCAGGGTGAAAGCTAACAATTCAGCCACATGGGTGGTCAGGACTTAAGTGTCTGAGCACATTCCTCGACTTTCTCTTATCTAGGCAGTAGAGGAGGCCACTGGGGTGGGCTGGGTGCGGGTGGGAATGCTTTGTGTGTTATGTGGGATTGTGTAGCCATAGCTGTGCTGCCCTGTGCAAGTGGAGCTGCAGCTGTGATCTCATCTCAAGCAATCTCTAACCTGAACGGGAACACCTCATGGGAAGGACAGTGCATTGCCTGCAGCAGGGGTATTTCCAGCTGCCAGGAACTGCTTTGCCTATCGAGCCAAGCTCATGGTGGTGGAAAGGTGGTGCTTGTGGCTGTCAATGACCTGGACGTTCCTGGCCTCACCATCACCTGGTGAATGTAGCCAGGGATGTGTGCACCCACTTATGCAGCTGTGCAGGGCTCAGGGTGTGAGGGAAAGGGTGTGAGAGGGAAGGGCTGAATGGACGGATGGATGGGGAAGGGCACAGCCCAGGTTCCAGGCAGCTCCCGAGCACTTTCACGCCAATATTTGCTCTTCTGCTCCTCTTCCCACTGCTCTCTGCTGCCTGTTTTGCCCCATCCTACCTTGCCTGACTGCTGACTCTCTGGCTGTCCCCCACCTCTTCTCTCCTGCCTCCTGTCTGTCTCCTCTCTCTGTGCCTAGGGTGCCTCCTCCAGTCTAGTGGTGAAGTTTGCTGACACAGATAAGGAAAGGACCCTCCGTCGTATGCAGCAAATGGTGGGGCAGCTGGGGATATTCACTCCATCTCTCACCTTGCCGTTCAGCCCATACAGCGCCTATGCGCAGGCTGTGAGTATCCTGCATGTGTGTGTGGGGAAAGGCTGCCCTCCTGGCTGTGGGACAGCAAAGTACCTGGGAGACCACAAACTGGTCCCTTAACAATTGCATGCAAGTTTCCCAGCACCTTGTTACTTGCTCCTGGCTTCAGTTTCTCCAGTCAGCAGCCTTGTCTTGCACAGTCTTTGTGCTTTTCTCTCCTGAAATGGGTGGCAGGGGAGAGCTGGGACCTCCTCAAAATGAGCCTGGATTTCTCTGGTGGTGGTGTAGGCCGGTCAAGGTGTCTGGGAATAGGTCAAGCATGACCCAGTATCTTTCTGTCTTGTTTTGAGGACAGATCAGAGACATGATTCCTGGGCAATGTCTGCCAGATGTATACTAACTTGTGAACTCTTCCTCTGGGTCTGTGGCACAAATGTGCGTGTCTCCCTCTGGTTTTGTAGCACCACGAGAGCCCTGGGCCCAGCTTCACAAGTTTGTTTCTCCGCTGAAATTCTTAAGAGGGCCCTAATCCTCCTAAATGCTGTCCTTGGCTCCCAATGTTTTCTCACTTGGCTAGTGTGACTGTGGGGTTTGCAAGATGCTGGAGAGAGAGCAGTAAGTAGCAGAGGGCCAGAGGTGTTTCAGCAGTCTGGCTGTGCTTTGGATCTTAGTGAGAGAACCTCATTGCCTTGGAGCCATCGTGACAGTTGCCATTGATGTTTGAGGCAGGTCCCAAACTCAACAAGTTTTGATGTACTGCATATCAGTTGCACTCCCATATCAGCTGTGTGGAGCATCATTTGAGTATTCTTGGTGACTGTCATTTTCAGGTCTCTACTGCCAAGTATAAAACCCATGGAAGGAGGCTCAGAAATTGCTCAAGGCATGAGAGATTCTTGTGTTGATAAAGAACTTTGAAGTACATACTGTTAACTGAAAGTAATTTTGCAGCAGGGAGAAAGTGCAAATAAACCTGTTCTTCTCATATATGTGGACACCTCTTTCTCCTCTGGCTTCAGCAGCTACTTGATGTGCCTTCGTTTCATTTACATGACAGAGAAGGAACTGTTTCTCAGCTGTTGGCCTTTTCTTTCCAAAGGTTCCCCAGAAACTGCCAAATGCCTTCTAAGTGTGTGGCAAGAGCATGGACAAAAGGCAATACACATGAGGCTCCATAATGTTGGGGAATTTTGGGAACCAAATGCAGAATTTATCCAACACAGATTATTTGATTTTTCTTGTGTAATGAAGCTGAGAACAGCTATGCCATTCCAAGTCTTCCAGCAGAAGCATGATTTAGAGGGAAGAACCCCTTCTGACCAGGTACTTTTGCCAAGACCCATCTTTTCTGTCCAGCCCACAAGCCAGTTATACCTGAGGTCAAAGGTTGTAGCTTAGCTCATCTGTGGCTCACCAGATGATCATTCAGGTGTATCTTCTGCTGTCGTGGAGGTAGCACTAACTTGGGTATGGTATGGTATGGTATGGTATGGTATGGTATGGTATGGTATGGTATGGTATGGTATGGTATGGTATGGTATGGTATGGTATGGTACGGTACAGTGGTGAAGGAGACAGGAATGGACCATACAGTGAGGTTATGATGGCAGAAAGTGCTTTATTATCTTATGGTCCAGGACGTGTAAGGATGAAGAGCAGTGAGACCTTCTAGACTCAGTCTTTTAAGTGCCCTCCAATCTTCAGGAACTCCTCTTGATGGCAAGAAACCAGTCAGGTCTAAGCTGTGCTCCTTGCTTATCTTTATCTTCGTACTCCTCGGTTGTGTCTGTTACTGTGTTGGTCTGTCTGATTCTTCACTGGCCTTCCTACTCTCAGACTTTTTTTTGGCTTTCCCCTTGACTCAAGACTCAGCTTTTTCGTGTCTCCTGCTTCTTCGTGATTTTTTACTCTTTTTCCTTTTCGTTTCCACTGGGTTTGATTCTCTCTCCTTTTTCTTCCTGAGCCACTGATCTCACACATGACTGCTTCTTCTCTTGTGTCAGTCCTGGTCTTTGGTCTCCCTTCTTCTGAAGGAGAGATCCTGGCCAGTTCTCATATGCATACAGTGTCCCCATCAGAGGGAGAGGGTATCAGTCCTTTGAAATGCCATCTAGCATCTCTCTGAAAGTGGGGGCAAAAGAGAGGCACTTCCTTACTGAATCTCCTTGCAGTACATCAAAATATCCTGCTATGGGTAGCTTTGGGAGGTGGCCACTCTGGCAAGTCAGGGCTTGAGGGAACCCCAGCATACTTCATGCTTGCATGATTCTGGGCTTGCAGTAGTAGATGCTACACCCAAGGTTACCCACAGGGCTGGGAGATGCAGCTAACCATTATGGATGTGGTTGAATCAGACTGAGAGGAGCGAGTGCTGCAAGGGTGCATCATAGGTTCTTAATATTCATAATTTAATAAACCAACAACTTTCTCTCTTTGTCCGAATGGGTTTGCTGCATAGCCATGCCAAAGCGGTCCTCAGGATTCCCAGTCTAGGAAGAAGAAGTTTGGAGCCTGGGTTGTTTTGGTTTTGGTTTCAGCTGGATGTTTTAAATTTACATTAATTTCCTTTTTTTTTTTTTTTTAACTATCTCAAATTAAACATGAAATAATCATACAGTATGTTAGATCTAAACTTATTCAGATCTATTCAAATATGCAAAATAAGGTAGTTAAAACAGTCACACAGTACATGTTAGCTGAAACAGTTTTGTAAGAAGAAGTGTCATCTGGGAAGTACAACTGGCTAAACATCTGGAAGGAATTTATTTCAATGCTTAAACCAGGTTTTGATCCCAGGTGCCTCTGCAAGTGAAAAGTTAGTATTTCCTTAATTTGATTTTATTCAATAAGTTAGTTCAGATGGTGTCAGGGAAATGTTTGAGAGCTGAAAAAAAATAGTAATTATCAATACAAAAGAGGCCTGAAGAGCAGCCAATGCAATTTACTAAGTGATTATAATACTTGAATATTTCTTGTATATCATAAGTCAGTTATGTTAGTTAGTTCCAAACACAAAATATAATTTGTTCACACCTCCCTGTTTCTTTCTGTTCTTATGGTTCATTATGGTAATTTTATGTAACTAATGAGAACAATTTCAGAATGCCAGTTTGGTGCATATGCAATTGGATGCAGGTCTTGGTCCAGCCAGAGCCTGGCACAGAACAGGCATTAATGACAAAAAAGAAAACCAATATTCACATAGTGAGTAAGGAATGTGTTGGTTCCCACACCCTTGAATGGGGACAGTGTGAAGACAGGACTAGGAATATGTGCAGGCTGCTTGCACAGAGACACTTTCCTCAGCAGAGTCCTGTGCCCCAGTCCTGGCTTAGGGTGAATGGCTCCCAGTAATGTGAGTCCAGCTTCAGAAGAGTTGTGCTAACGATGATGTGATGGCAAACAGAGGTGATAGCAGGGCACTTGCTTTCTGGAGTCGTGCAGCAGTGAACCCCTGTGCTGTCAGTTCATCTGCCCATGGAGACCCCCTTTTGTGGTGTCCACTTCTCCCCAAAAAGGCCTCAACCCTGTCCCAGCACTGCCTTGAAGAGCTAGTTTCACCCCAGTGGCTTTGATTGTACCCGGTTACAGAGACAGCAGTGCCATGAAATTCCTCTTTTTAAGCAAGAGTAATTATCAGCTTCTGTGTGAAGGAAATCAAGGGAGGGTTTAGCTAGCCATGACCTTTTCAGAGTTACCAGATTCTTCATCTGAGACCTGGGCCAAACTGGCTTGCTGACTCACCCATTTGTGGATGAGGTTGGTTACTTGAAAGCTGTGTATGTTGCAAAGCAGACAGTGGGATGTGGCAATGTAAGGAAGATTTGTGTTGTTTTCTTGGGTTTTGCCTTGTGTCACCTCTCAGCACCTCCGGAGAAAACCACAGTTTCCAAAGAGCCATACATGTGCCTCCCCTGCTGTTCTTGCTTGATGGGGAAGACAAGGCTTATAAAGGGGCTGGATAATTTTGCATCCAGAACTAAGTCTTTGTTGCCACTGCTCCAGAGCACCCACTGATGTTCAAAAAGGACCAGAAGGATTCTTTCTTCTTACTCCTATCCCTCCTCCCAACCTCGTGTTCCACCCCTACCCTTCCTTTTGTACTGTGCATCTCTGCCTGGGCAGGTGTGTTATGGGACCATGAGGAGCTGACATCCTCTGATTCCAGGGTGCAGGCCACTGCCAGAGGAAAGGCTAAGCTCAGTGGATCATGGAGAATATCTCTGCTGCAAAGCGTGACATAAGAGCTGGGCCTGGAGAGACACTCGGTTGCACAGCAGAGTGCCTGTGCCAGCAGCAGGATCTACTTGTTGAGGAGGGCAAAACCAGAAGAATTTGGACCCTGTTCCTCAAGTCAAAGCTGTGCTATTTAGTACCTGGCACTTTCCCAGGAGAAGTGATCAGAGAGAAGGGCCTGTGGGGAGACAGTGTTGCTGGGTGCCAGGAGCACACCCCTTCCCCGCTCCCTTCCTCATTGAAGGAGCTCTCTGAGCCAAAGGGGGTCATCTCGATGCCCCGGTGCACAGCTGAGTGAGCCAGAACCCCTCAAGGCTGCCGGCATGTGAAGGGTGAGGCATGGGGATAGCTGCCCAGCCGTGGCACTAGCTGTGTGGACTGGGATGCCCACTGAGCCATGTCCCCTGGCTGAAGGACAGGAAGTTGTGCCTGGCTCTCAGGGGCTTTCACATGTGGCCAGACCCAGGCCACTGTCCTGCCTCGACAGGCAGGCACTGCATGAGTATGTGGCCGCCAGGATCTTGTGGGCCCCTGGGCATGGAGACTGTCAGCCAGGCACAGCGCAGGCTTTCAGAGGATGGTGCTGCTGCTGCCCACTCTGGCAGTGTCATGGGAAGCTCCAGGGCAGGTGGCAGGAGCCCAGTGACATGCAACAGCAGCTGGGGGTGGGGGAGGTCGCAAGGCTTCGTCTCCAGCTTGGCCCTAGTCCTGGCTGTGGCAGGTGAAGGCAGTGGCTGGGTTGGCCCGTGCAGCCTCCCCCAGCTCTGGCACGGCCGCCATGGACCCTGGCAACAGGAGGCCCTGGGCAGCATCGGGCCCTGACTGCACGGTCCTGCCTTGCAGCTGATGCAGCAGCAGACGACGGTTCTCTCCACCTCCCATGGCAGCTACCTGAACCCAGGCGTCGCCTTCTCCCCATGCCACATCCAGCAGATCGGTGCCGTCAGTCTCAACGGGCTGCCAGCTGCTCCCATTGCACCAACATCAGGTGAGGGCCTGGACGCAGCAGGTCCTTCACTGCCAGTGAGCCTCCTGCCCTAGCACTTGGCATGGTGACCACCCAGGTAAAACAGTTCCTAGAGCAGCATGTGGATTATTTTGCTCTTTTCTAACAATGGAGCCTCTGAGCACAGCAGTCTGTAGTCTGCTTAAACTTCTGCAACCTTCCTGTCACCCTCACATGCTCAATACACATTCTCTTGTCCTACTGCTGTTCATTTTGGCTGCAGTTTTTCCCTTTGATATAGTTGAGGAGGACAGGGTTCCCAGGATTGCACTTGACTCTGAGGTCAGTGGTGCTATTATTCATTGTCATCATCCCACAGTAAAAATGTGCATTTGCGTTTGAATGCCCATCAAGAACAGGTATGCATCATGCTAGGTGCTGCACAAACCCAGATTAAAAGTGTTCCATCCCAAAGCTCTGACAGCAGTTAGGACTAGCAGTGCTGCACACTCTTCTCACTAGTGCTGCCTCTTAATTTTGTGAAGGCTCCAGCACTAGTCTGTCATCTCCACATGCCAACTAGAAGAGATAATAGCTTCATACACAGCAGCCTTGCCAGGCAGATGGAAGGTGGGAACATGGGCTTTGTGGGACCTTGACTTTCATGCGATGCCCTCTCTTCTTGTTCTACAGGGCTACATTCACCATCTCTCCTGGGAACAGCAGCCATGCCAGGACTGGTAACACCAATTTCAAATGGATTTACTGGAGTGGTACCATTCCCAAATGGGCATCCAGCCTTGGAAACAGTTTACACCAATGGCCTTGTGCCATATTCAGGTATTGAGAGCAGGAAAAAAACCCACCATCCAGAGACCTGAGGAACTGCAATTAATTCCTCTTTTCTGGATTTCCCATAGAGAATACTCGTCTAGCTCCATACCAACCAGGCACTGAGACTTACCTGGGCGCAGGGGGTGGGAAACAACACTACACACACACACACACATACACAAAATGCACGAGTGATTCTGACTATGTTTTTCTCTGCAGCCCAGAGTCCTTCAGTAGCAGAGACTTTGAACCCAACCTTCACAGGAGTTCAGCAGTATGCAGGTACCAGCTTCCCTTGTCTCCCTCAGGCCCTTTTGTGGCTGACCAGATCCTCGGGTAAATGGTTTGTTCTGTCTCTGGACTTACAGCTGTGTATCCGACCACCACCATCACCCCCATTGCACAGAGCATCCCTCAGCAGCCTCCCATCCTGCAGCAGCAGCAACGAGAAGGTGAGGTTCAGAATGGGACTATTTGTGTCCCAAGAGAGGGGTGGGATTTGTGTAGCTCATCTTCTGTACCACAGAACCAATGGAGAGGAGACAGCACTAATTTTTATCAGCCAATCTTTGATACTGGAACTAGGCTATGGAAACAACCACATCTCTGCCTTGAGTGGACTAGAAGAGTTCACAGGATGATTGTTATGCAGACTTCCTGAGCTTGTCCCTGGCCAGATGTTGCCAGGTACAAAGGGGGCAATAGGCACCAGAACACCACGCCTTCACATCAAAGAGGGTAGTCAGCACCTTCCCTACACAGTCACAGGAAAAGAACACTGCCTCTCCACTGATGCCAGAACCACAGTGGTACCAGTCAAATCAGCCTCTCCCAATGTACTCTTCTCTCTTTTCAGCCTTCATAGCCTCCTGAGTTTATTTTTCAACTTATTTCAAAATTGACCTAAATAGAAATTGGAGGCAAAGGCATTCTCTCTCTGCTCCTGATTCTTACAGCGGGTGTCAGGAAGGGAGCAGCTTCTTGTGTTCATCAGGCTCACAAGGAGCAAGTGAAGGAGTGGACAGGACCAGGTCAGCCCATAAATGGGATGTACGGCAGTCCAGGGTTAAGGCTGTAGCTTACGGACTGAAGGCAACCACTGCCTAACTGTGGGCAGGGAATGCCAGAGGAGCAACTTTCACATAGCAGTGTCTGCTGCTGTCCTAGGACTGGGAGAGCTATGAACAAGGAACTCTTGCCTCAGCTGAGTTCCTTCCATCAAAACAACACCCGGACACTTACAGAGTTGTTGTGTCCAGCACACTATTTGGGAACTAGATAAGCTTTGAAAGAGAAGCTGCTCTCCAGAAACTTCAGCTTTGTATATTACCTCCCAGTTGCTCTTAGACAGCCCTCAGAATCCTTTGGGGAAAAGTGACTGAGAGACAAACAAGGGGAGGTCAAAGCAGAAGGAGGAAGTGCTAGGGTTCTCCTCCAGTGCTGTGCTGTGAGTTGAGCCCATTTTTTTCCCATTCCCTTTGGGGTTTTCTGTTTTGTCCTTCCCCGCTGCCCCCATATCTGCAGGTCCTGAAGGCTGCAATCTCTTCATCTACCATCTCCCTCAGGAGTTTGGAGACAACGAGTTGATGCAGATGTTCCTGCCCTTTGGCAATATCATTTCCTCTAAGGTATTCATGGATCGTGCCACCAACCAGAGCAAGTGTTTTGGTAAGTGCTGACACCAGCAGACGAGGGAAGCATGATAGATAACTGATGACACTTACGTATTGGGCATGGCACCAACAATGCCGTTGTTACCCATGCCTGTGTGCTGTCCTTCAGGTTTCGTAAGCTTTGACAACCCATCCAGTGCACAGACTGCTATCCAGGCTATGAATGGCTTCCAAATTGGCATGAAACGTTTGAAGGTCCAGTTAAAACGACCCAAGGATGCTAACCATAGCTACTGACAGCAGTAAACAAGCAGGAGTCACTTCTGCAGCACAAGGTAAAGCTGGCACCATCATAGCACAGTTCTGTACAGTGCTGGCCAGTGTCAGGACAGCAAGGTCTGGAAGTGGGGAGCCACAAGCTGAAGGCAGTAGTACAGCTAGTGGGGCAGTGGCCTCACCTGCCAGGGCCCAGCCCCAGCAACTGAGCAAGGTGACCAGAGCAGGTCTGGAGATGATGGCCAGGTTCAACAGTCTAGATCATCAGGCAAATTTGTGGCAATGAGGCAAGCCCAAAGGCAAGCCAGAGAGTCAATCTGCAGGTCAAGATCAGGATCAGGTCTGGTGAAAATAAACAGGGTCAAACATAGTCCAGTGATTGCCAGGCAAGTCTATAATGTCAATAATAAACAGATCAAACATCAAGATGGGAAGACAATCCAAGGGTTGAAGTCCAGGTAATTAGATCCGTGGACAGGACATGTCCATGGACAGGTGGAGACTGGAATTTCCACAATGTAGATCAGACAAAGGCTGATGACACAGGCCTGACCTATAATGAGACTTGGACCTGTGGGCAGGGTGGACAGAAGTTGCAGCTGAGGCTGGTCAAGTTCATTAAGGCCTTTTAGTGCACTCGGGCCCTGACAGGCAGATGGGTTCTGTTTGTGGTCTAAGCAAGGTTTCAGTCTGCTGTCCAGCTGCTCCCTCAGAACTTTTGTCTGCCTAAAAAGGTTTTAAACACCAGTTTTCAATTGTTACATGGGCCTGAAGTTAGTCTGCAGAGAATGCTTTCTGGTGTAAGAAGGGATAATCCCATGATTCACAGAGATCAGAGATAAACAGAGAAAAGGTGAGACCCTTAAGGACCCCAGAAGAGCTGCCTGACACAACAGCTGCTGCCAAAGAGCTGGCTTCTGCCAGCCTACAGATAGGGAGCAAGGGAGGGCTGATCCGATTTGGGTCATAGTCCTTCATGTTTAAGCAACAGCAACTCAAAGCCTGAGGCTTGCACAGATGTCTTCCTAATCTCCCGATTCCCTCCCTCCTCCCTTTCTGTTCAGGTGAAAGGAAGGAAAGTCCAGAGGAAGAATTTCTGCTTCAGGTTGATTTACAGAAAGGCCAGTAAATTTGTCGACTCTTTTGACACCACCCCTTTCCTTCCTCTGCTTCCCACCTACCCACCCTATCTTCCTCTTCCCCTCCTCTTCAAGACACGAAATTAAAGAGAAGGCTCAATATCTGCCCAGGAGGAAGAAGGCTCAATATCTGCCCAGGAGGAAGATTCTTGCCACGACTGACTCACATATTTGCTGCTAATGTGCTGCATAGCAAAGGGACCAGCTAACCAGCAGCCCCTGGGGACATAAACCTCTTCCTCTTGGGGTATAGCTGGAGTATGTGGACCAAGAAAACCCACTGATGTGTCTCTAGGTTAATGCAGTGATGTATGGAAGTTTCATCCCATCCCTCCCTCCCTCTTTCTCCGTTTCTGGCCCTTTCATAGATAAGTATACATATATATACAGTCTCTCTTTTTTTATTTAAAGTGGCTCACAGGACCAAACTTTTCAGATGGACTGCTTGCAAGAGGTATTGGGAAGTTCGGGGTTTACCTTTGCAACAGTGTCTCCTCAGCACATGCTGCAGATAGGCCTGAACATTTTGAGAAGATGCTTGGGGAGAGAGAGGGGGAGGGTGGCAGGGGGTAGGGAAAAAGAGAGGATCATCTGTCTGCTCAACATTAGCAAGGAGGAGGAGAAATACATACCTCCAGGATTAGGGCACACTCAGATGCTCAGCTCAAGTCACTCATCCACTGTAGCACCAGCCTGGTTAAGGATCTGAAGAGCTCTCAGTCTTACCTTTCCAAGGGCTTTTGCAGACAGAGCTCCTGGAATGTGGTGCCAGACCCTAGCCTGAGCACTCCCAGATTAGGCTGAGAGCACAGGAAACCAGTCCCTTTACCTATAGGAACTCTACTGCCTCCCCAGACATGGCACAGATCCATGTTTCGTAGCTCTCCATGGTAACAGCATTTTCTTGATGAAGGCAAAAGAAGATGAGTGTGAGCAGATGCAATCTTCAAAACAGTTACAGAAGCCTCACAGGGGCTACACACTGCCTCCCTGTGTCAGATAAGCTAACGCTTTCTGTAAGCTGTAAAATGTGTTGAGGGGTTGAACGCTACAGCAGAGCTGCCTATTGGGCAGTTCTGATTCCCAGATGAAACAGGACGTTTTCTCCCTCTGAGTTTAGCAAGAAGACTCACCTCATGCACCTGTTGCAAAGCTTTCCCCAGCAGATGCAAGGATAATATGATGAAAGAGGGTTGCCATTCTGTTTTTAAATTTTTCCCAGCACTCCCTCGAAGGCACTGATAATACATTATACAGCATATATATATATATATATATTATATATATATATATATATATATATATGTAGGGACAGCTATATACACATATTCTTAAGCACAAAATGTAGTTCAGAACTTGATTTAGGAAAGATCCTCTGGGAGTGGGGGGTGTGTCACACTGACAAGGCACATCCTTTTAACAGTTGGAAACAATCTCTTAAATTTCTACAAAAATAAGGAAAGCAAGACAGAACAAACCAACCAACCCCACAGTGATTAATGAATGGTTAGTTTCAATATTCCAGAGTTTCGTAGGGTACCACAAAAATTTGGGGGGGGGGGGGTGCAGTGAGGGTTGGTGGGGAAACGTTGATGCAATTATTACTGAAGTGAGCTATGGGGATTTTAGAGAATCTTGGCCAACTCTCACTCTCCTCCGGTTTCCCTTTGTTCAGATGTGTGTGGCACAGTTGTATACGTACGTTCACATCTCCTCAACTACCCCTTCTGTATCTGATGCTGAGAGTTTATGAGAGATGAATGAAGCTGTGTGAGTCTGTCTGTTTCTATAGTCCATGTTTACTTATTGTAAATACCATTTTTATACTTAACATCTATTATGTATGTGATTTGTATAATGTACTTTATTTCTGCTACAAGTAATTTCATGAAGTTTAAACTTAGTCTAATTTTGAACAAAAAAAAAAAAAAAAAAAAAAAAAAAAAAAAAAAAAAAAAAAAAAAAAAAAAAAGAAAAAAGACCAACAAATGCAAAATAGGAAAAAAAGGACTTCTAAAATGCTGGGTCAAGCTGGTTTAAAACAAGCATTTACAGTTTCTTCCATCACAGTTAATGATGTGACTGTACAATGTTACAGGTGTGAATACAAGCTCTGTCAATGTCAAATTCCTCACTCTGGTCAAAAAAAAAAAAAATCCTGAATTTATTTAATAAAAGTTTTACTTGCTAAGTAACTGGGACTCTACTTCATGTTGTTAGTTGCACCTACTTTCACTTACTGCACAGTGCTTGCACTTGAAGACATCACCGGAGCCCTGGGGCTGATTTAACATGCAGTCAGCAAATGTCTCTCAACAGGCCTGTGCCCACAGAATCCAAGTGACCAGTATTCTTTCACAGAAGAAGCATCAACATGTAATACCAACACATTAAAGAACTGTTTAATTAAAATAGAGATTAAAATTCTACTTATATGAAACAAGAATGTTTCACAGAATCAAAAAAGCAATGACACAGTGGAGCAGGATGTCCCAGGATTGTGCAGACAGAGGTTAAAGCTAGGGCTGCAGTAAAAGCAGACAGCTGAGGTGGAAAGAGGGGAGATGGGAGGAGGGCTAGGACAGAGTGAACAGTGGGAAAGATCTCTGACTCACGATTAGCAACATCAGAACCATGGGCTAAAGCAGGATGAGAGGGAGACCAAGAGTCGTCTCAGGAAAAGAGCTAAGGTTACTTTGCCACCAGTGCTGCCCTGCTCCTCCTTGACACCAATAGGAGGCTTAGTGGGACAGTGGGAATGTAGTTAAAAGGAATATAGGATGGGAGAGGAGACCAACTGGGCATCTCTTAAGGACTGCTGTAGTTATAGTAACTCCTTAAAACCTGGCCCCGGTTGCTGGGGAACAAAACCCAGAGGCAGCACACCTGCTGCAGCCACCATGGGTAGAAAACCTCATGCACCCTTGTAGCACCTCCTCGGATGATGGCGAGTGCAGCTTCAGGAGCAGGCGAAGCACTTATGTACACTTTGCCCCTGGAAGGAAATATTGAGAGGATCAAAGCCAGTCAATCGCTGCTGTGGTTTTAACTCTGCAGACTGACTGCCGTGGGGCTCTGCATGCTCACGTTCAATGCTGAGGCAGATATGAACAACCCCTGTGATGTACCCAAACAAATGCACACTTCCCATTGGTTTTCTTGCACATCCAAAGAGATTCACACACCATCTTAAACGCAGCTGCGGTGCATTTAGTTGCATGCTTTCAAGAAGAGACATATTCCTGCAGACACACTCCCTCCCAGATTCCTACATCCTCCTCCAAATACACACCTGGTATTCTGTAATGCTGTATCAGTATCAATCAGACCCAGGATGCACAGTGTGATAGAGACATTTCTCTTCTGCATAATGAGTTCATGGCGCAATGAGCTGAAGAATCCATCCAGTGCAAACTTGGTGGCAGAATAAGAAGTGGTGAAGGGAGTGGGTATTTTCCCTAGAAAGGAAAAGGAGAGAATGGAAAACACCAGGAAACTGGCTTTAAGGAGAATCCATGGTTAGGGAATCTGGGCAAAGATGTAGGCT